TTCTTAAAACAAGTTAATTTTCCTGTTAGCTTTTAATTATAAAGTGAGTTCATACTTAAAAACAATCAAATCATAGTTTATGTTTAATTCTTACCCAATAATAAGTGGCAAGCGGCATCGCCCCTTTGATGAGAAGGCGCCATGAAACCGGATTTGAATGATTTTCGGTGTGGTGGTTTGTGGATTGAGTTTTATAATGGGTTTTGCTAAAGTTTACCGCTAGCGCATATGTTTCTAGGCTTAGTCCATTATTCTAGGTTTGGACCTTTTGGTTTAATTCTTGTTGGGCTTGGGGTAAACTTTAGCAAAAACCCATTATAGAACTCAATCCGCAAATCACCTCACTAAAGAAGACAAGAAATTCCAAAAAGACATCTTACTTTGAGTGAAAAAAAATTTAATTTCTTTTAAATAAAATTTTAACTTCAAGTTTTATAAATAAAGAAATAAATGTTGAAAAAGCTTTTCTTTTATAGAGTCTAACATGGTTTAATTTTAAATTAATCGAGATGCAATGTAATTTTTGAATACTAACGGGTTTAGTAAAAGAAAGAAAAGAGAGAGAGAGAGAGAGAAGAGAGAAGAGAGAAGGTAAGAAATTATTTGAGTAGCCATGAATAAAGGTTTAGATATTTTGTGAGTGAAAGTGATAAGAAGAAGAATATGATGAAATGTGTACAAAGAACATGGGGTGTAAAGGGAGGGATTTCAATTTAGACTGCCCCTAATGCCTAATGGTTGTTGACCCACCAATAAAGTAGTGTTGTCATACAAAATCAATAATATTGTGTCTTGTGCATCAAATATATATATATATATATTGTGTCTTCGAGGATTAATGACTTTATTAAGTATAAAATCCACTAACAACCCTTTTAACTGAATTATAAACTGCTGTTTATGTAGAAAAACATAATTTGTCAACGGTAGTTTAATTAATTACTTATTGCAGAAAGAGCCAACGACGGGAGGACCCAAATTTCAGTGAAAGTCACTCACCATGGGGTCATATGAACTCAACAGTACAGTATTCCAAGGAGCTGTCGGAGTGTCGGACTGTGTTGTGTGGTTCACATGAATATAGGAGTATGATCTTTGTCAACGGTCAATGCATCATTAGCATCGGTTTCAGCCACCAATGAATGAGTTTCTCATGCTCATGGATGAAATGATTTTCCATTTCAAAACCAAAGTTTTGTAGCATTTCACAAAATATATTATTAATCAGTAAGCGAAAGCATAAAGATTAAAATATAGAATACTTTTGGCAAATTCTAGGTTAAGCTCCCTAAACTTATTTCAAATTCTCAGTTAAACTTCTAAATTTTTTTTTAAATTAATTAAACTCTTGAACTTGATAATCTAAATAATTTAATCATCTTTCTTTATAGCAAATTTAATATCTATTTATGTTTCGTTTACATGAATAAGATATTAATATATCTTTATCTACATGATTGGTATTGACTTTGTCCACCAAAGTAAGGCACAGTCTGCATTAAGTATGTGCATTAAGTATGTGGTAAGGAAAAATGTTAAATTACTCAAATTGTCAAGTTTAAAAACTTATTTATTTAAAGTTTAAAAACTTATTTATTTAAATAAAAACTTAAAAGTTTAATAAGAAATCTAAAATAAGTTTGAAGATTTAATGTAGGGTTTTGTCAATACTTTTTGATATATCACATAGTGGGTTATGGTACAAGGCTTGCCAAATTCTCGTATAACCTGTTTCAAAGTTTGAATCTCACTGTAACAATGCCATTACAAGCAAAACAAAAAAACAAATTCCTTAGAAAATCATTTTTTTTTTAGGTGGGGGGGAGGGGATGGATGGGTGGATGGGTGGATGGGTGGAAGGGTGGTTTGAGTCTTGGTTGTAATTAAAAGATGCCGTGCCAATAGCTCCTTTACTGGGGTCACTTTTAAAGACAAGAAGATTTTAGTAGAAGAGGATCTTTGATTGCTTTAGAAGAAGAAAAGGGGTTGTGAAACCCAGGAAGCATTAGGGTCGCCCAATTAAGCAAAAGAAATGCATATAAATATTCAAGAACCCCCGTCCCACCGACCCCCACATGTCTCTCATAATTTGAAAGGCACATGGAAATTCAAATGCCTGAGCCTGACTATTCAGTGAGTGCACTCAACTTTCTTTTCGTTGCAACTGCTATTGAAAGAGGTGACGAAGAGTCTTGTCCTCAGCTCCATCCACAAAAGGATAACAAAAGTGCTGTAAGAACCCATAATTCAGGTCCCCAAAATAGTAATAGTCCAACAAATTTAGTGCAGTGAGGGGGACCCTGTGTTGCACACACCTCCTAAAGTGAGTGCATAGGAGAATCTGCTGGTCAAGCTATTTCCCTTTTTATCTTGCCATCTTTTTAAGCTAAAGGCTTCATCTTTTAGAGAGAAAGAAAGCAAGAAATGGCAAGACTTCAAGTTCAGTTCCTGGGGTGGCCATTGGGTGGGTGAACACTTTTCCCCTAACCAAACGACAGCAAGTAAAGCTAAGTTCAATGTAGTGTTCCATATCCTTACCATGGCTGATTTTGGGGCATGATTTGATTCACATTTTGTTCTGCTGCAAGAATGAACTTGTTGGTTTCGTTTTTCAATGATGTATTTGATTCACTAGAGAGACCAACTTAAGCAATGAGCAATGCAGAATGCAGGGTAAGATAAAATGAAAAATGAAAAAGGCTAATTTCATTGTACACATTGAACAGAATTGAAGGCCAAAGGCACTCCAGACTCTACAATTATGGGGTCAAAAGCAAAACTCCCACCAAATCTAAGGGAAAATTGTACGGTCCCCTGTTGCAGGAACATGTACAACTCCGAGAAAGACGGAAAATGGAGCAAAAGCCATCACTTGTTTATTACACTTGTGATTGCATGCTCCAGATATTTCCGAATTTCTCAGTCCCCATTTAAGTAAACTTTATCCAACAATCTACCCCAATACCAATCCATTACAAGGAATCTTTCCGGGGTTTATTTATGGAGATATTTGCAAGAGAACCCACATGATTTCATTGCAGCATGCAAGGTGTTTTCATGTCCGCATTATGATTTTGCCTCAAGCATTTGAATCAATTGCTGGAATTGAAGTGCCTAATTATATATTCAGGTGAGCTAGGCCATACCTCAAATCTTCATCCACGTGGATGTTTGTTCTTGGAGCATCCACTGCAATGAATTTGGCAGGCCCTACGTGTCCTATGTCCTGGCAGCTAACACGTTGTGCATATTAGACCAAGTAAAACTTCCTCCTCATTGAATTGTCCTTGTAAGCTTGCACTTGGAAATAAAGATGGTATCTGTATAATTTAGCCTACATAACTTCAACAGTTCTGCAGACCTTTGCTTTAAGACAGGATTGCAACCACATTGAATCAGGAGCAGCTTTGCTCCTAGCCCAGCCTCTACAGCAACTGATGAACATTCCTCTGGGGCAAGTTTGCATACAGACCATAAAATGGACAATGCATATTGAGTACAGTTTTCTGAGAATCTCATTAGTAGCCTCACCAGGTTTGGAATTGTGTTTGGACAATCCTTCAGTGCAACTATTCCCTCTGGCAGAGAAGATAGCATATCCAATATGAAAAGGATCAATTCCAAGCAATCAGGCTCCAAAGAAGGCAACAATTCAACCAATTGAGGAACAGCTCCAATGCTCACAATCAAGCCCCTAACTTCTTTATGCAGGCATATAGATCTGAGGAGGCTAAGCCCAGGCAAAATTCCATTGGTGTGCCTCTTATCCTTCACCAGTCGCATTAGCCCAACCAACAGGCTATGGCTGGAGACAACCTCTGCTCGAAAGTCCTTGTCTTCCATCAATTTCTCAATCAAATGTGTACAATTGATCTTTGTCTCAATTGAACCTTCATTTAACATATCCACCATCAATGAAATCTTCGCAGGCTGCATCAGATTGCCTTTGGACTCTGAATCAAGTTCCAAATTTACAAGAATCCCAATTGCTTCCGAACCTACTGCGTGGGAGGTAAAGGGGCCCAGCAATGATGAAATCACAGCAATCCCACCTTCATCAACCACCGCCTTCCTAGCAGTAGCATGTGATGAAACAACTTGGTGTAGCTCCTTCAATGCCTGAACCCTAGCTTGACCCTTAACCTTCTTCAAGGTATCAAGAAGCTCGCTTGCCCTTCCCTGCACATCCTCCGACCTCTTCTTCATGAGCAAATACTTCTGTGAGAACCAAGTATAAATCAAATGATAAAGGGTCCTATTTGGGGTAACAGAATCATCCCAAAGCTCTTGCATAGTTGTGGGGCAAGTATAGTGCCCCAAACTGAACCATTTGAGAATGTTAGACCTCTCATAGGTTTGACCCGTGCAAAGCGTAACAGGGTCTTGCATTGGCTCGAGTGAGATTGGGCAGATAAACACAGAAGGAATCTCAGGTAAATCAAGCTCTTCAACCATCTTCTTCAGATCCAGTTTTTCACCAACAGCAGCACCAACAACTCCACCACCAACACCACCCAAAACTCCATCCTTCACGGCAGTATCCAGATCTAGAACCTGCCCATCCCCGCTACCATCAAAGCCAGCAACAACAGCATCCCTCCTTGAGGGCTCAAACATAGGCATCCTGTAAACCCCCTTTAGAGAACAAACCCACGAACAACAGAACCCTCAAAAGAACAAAAAAGGAATGAATGATACCGAAACCCCCCACACTCTAATTCACTGGTGACAAGCACCCTTCTAGCCACATTACACCTAGGTTGCACATGGAAGGTGTGAAAAAGGATAAAGAAAGGAACCAACAAAAGAAAGGAAGATGGTACTCAAGTTCTCCCTCATTGAAAAATCACAAGCAACAATACTCTCTTTATTGAACACACGAACATGCCCCTCCCTGTTCCTTTCCCTTTTCTTTATCCTGATCTCTTTCTATGGTCAAAAGACTCATTACCATCATAATAAAAGGCATCATAAACACATAATCAAGCTCCCATCTTTCACTTCCCCCTCAAGCTTCAGAAAATGGGGTTGAACTGAATCATGAAATCCCCAAACAAAGTAAAAGATACTAAAGTAAACAGTCAAAGATCAACAGTGTACAGATAGTACAAAGTTAATCAATGAATAGCCCTTCGAAAAAAAAAAAAAAAAACCCAACAAAAA